GATTTTCTCAAATGTGGGGGATCATGTGAAGGTTGTGACCCTGGTGACATGAGTTCAACAGCAGGTGATTCAGGTAAAAAAAATCATCGGATGATCTAGGTAATGAGACGTCAGGAGGTGACTCAGGTAAAGGAGAAACACCATTTTGTGGAGTAAAAGGTTCTTCAAGGTTTTCATGCACATGAATAACAAGTATATTAAAAAAATGTGATCTAAACTATGGGTTAAGGTTGTAATAGGAAACAAAGGAGAAGTTTTATCAAGGTTCTTGAAGGGAAAAATGTCTTCATGGAAGATAACATCCCGACTTACAAAAAAAAATTAAAATGAATATGTAACAACACATATCCTTTTTGTATAGTGGAGTATCTCATAAAAACGGAAGAAATGGATTTCGAGGATAGCTTATCATGATATGCAACATTGTGGCATAGCAAAGACACCCGAACACCTTGTGGTGAGATAAATTTGGAACCTTATTATAAAGAATTTCAAAATGAGACTTCCACCCTAGAATTGAAGTAGGAAACCATATTATTTTGTAACAAGCTATCAAGACACACTCTCCCAAAATTAGTTAGACACATAAGATTGAAACTTAAGGGCACGTATAGCTACCCCATTTTGTTGAGGGGTGCGAACGGATGAGTTTTGATGGACAATACTCTTGAAAGAAAAAAACTCACTTTCCTCATCATTAAAGAATTCTGTATCGTTATCACTCCTAATCGTTTTAACATGGACTGAAAAATGATTTTGAACATAAACAATAAATTATTTTAGTACCACCATGGCATCATTCTTAAGTCGAAGAAGGTAGACCCATGTCATCCTACTATGATAATCAACTATAGTTAAAAAATATTTGTGCCCACTATGCGTCAAAATACGATATGCCCCCCACAAGTCAATATGTATAAGTGAAAAAGGTTTATCTTCACATGAATTACTAACGGGAAATGACAAACGAGACTGTTTGGCAAGATGACAAACACCACAGTGCTTAACATGATCAAAATGAACAAGACTATAATCTAATTGAGCCATTTTATTCATGGTATTTAAAGAAGAATGACCAAGTCTAGCATGCCATAAGATACAAGAGTTTGCAAATTTATGAGTACATGAAACAGTAGAAGACAAACAAGAATCTGAATTGGCTAACAAAGGTAATGACATCTTTGATGAAGATACAACATTCGGTTGAAGAGTATATAAGCTGATTTGGACTAAATCAATCCCCTTCGTCTGCCCATTGTAAAGGTCCTGTAGGAGACAAAAATGTAGATAAAAAATGATACAACAGTAAAGTTCCTTGGTAAGCTGAGAACCCGATAACAAGTTATAGTGAAAATCAGGGACATGTAAAACTTTAGTCAAAGTTTGGGTAGGTGAAAAGGGATAGTTTCAACGTGAGCAATTTTGGTTGTTTTACCATTTGGCAATTGAATGAACGATGCAGAATCACATGCTATAGAAGAACTCAAAAACTCGAGATTAAATGTCATGTGGTTCATGGCTCCTGTGTCAAGAATCCAAATTTGATTCAAAGTGGAATTAACATCAATACCTGCCATATATGTTGCAGCTTGTACAGCAGATTCTTTTCCCAATAAATTCAGAATCTACTGATACTGTTCTAGTGTGAACAAGGGTGCTTGTAAATCATTCAAGTGTATATTATCATCAGAAGATGTTTTTTCACTCAGATCCACTGTCACTACACTATTTGCAGAATTTGCTCTTTTCTTGGTAAACTTAAAATCTGCTAGATAGCCAATTAGTTTGTAGCATGTCTCCTTCTTGTGTCCTTTGATATGGCATTGATCACACACACTGTTAAATTTTCTTCTTGACTGTGCGTTAAAAGAATTCAAATATAAAATAGTTGGTTCAAAAATCATCAACGCTTTTCCTGAATTTTGTCGTTGCTTTCTTCTTGAATAAGCATAGAATATGCTTGATTTACGGGTTGTAACGGATTCATCAAAAGAATTTGACTGCGAACCACTGAATAAGATTCACTTAATCCCATAAGAAACTGAAACTATATTTATTGCTTCACTAGTTTAGTGTTCTTTCTCGCTGCTTCACAGCCACACAACGCCAAAGGAGCAATGACGTCATATTCATCCAAAAAAGTTGAAGCTTGGTATGATAAGCTGAAATGGTCGTTGTACCCTGAACATACATAACGATGTCCCGATACAAGAAATATATCCTCGAGCCATCATCTTATCAAAACGCTCTTTAAGATCTATCCACACCAGAAAATCACTTTGTAACATCTCAAAGTTCGGGTCAGTAGTCAAGTGATTTTCCAGAGTTTTCAATAAAAATAATATTTTGGTTTTCAAAATTATAATTATTGATACAAAATTTTAAACGATTTTTGTAATATTAAATACGATTTATAGTAATAATAAAATAAATGTTTAATAAATGACAAAATTGAAAAATTGGATTTTAGTGACTAAAATGTAAAAGGATCATAAATCAAAATCTATCAAGCTAGTTTTACCAAGGCTTGTGTGGATGGTTCCCCCCCAAACTTAATCGTATCTTTCATCTCATTTTTTCCAATTTTCTATCTAGATTCATTTTCTTAATTCTTTCTCATTTTCATTCCTAATTTTCATTAACCGTTATTTTCATTCTCTCATCCAAACACTTTTGTAATTCTCTCTTAAATTCTACCAAAAGCTCTCATCACCAAAAATTCTTCTTCTTCTTCTTCATTTCCTATTCATTTTCTGATTGATTCTTATTCCTTTCATCTTGATTTTCTTTAGTTAGTCAAGGTTGATCTAATTTCATTTCTCTTGCTATTTTCTCCTTTGTTTCTTGGAGTTACCATTGTTGATCTCTTCATATTTACATATTCTTTTCCAACAAGGTATTTATCTTTTCCTTTTTGTGCTTCAACGATTAATGATTCAATGATTTGATGATTGCAATTAATCAATTTTTAAAAAAAAGATGTTTGTGAATTAAACTTGATTTTTTGAGGTATTTAATGTGCTATTTTTATTGATCAATTTCCAAGATTTTATTTTGTTGATTAAGGTGTTTATGATGATATTATTACCATATTAAAATAATTTTCAATTGCATTTGATTTGATTTGGATAAGAAATTCTTTAAAACAAGCTTGATTTTGATGTTTCTCGAAAATCTAGGAATTAGAGTTAATTGATGTCAATTGTAAGGTTTCTAGATGAGTTTTTTATATTAGTTGTTCTTGATGTGTTGATTGGATTGAAGGCTTGGAGAGTCGTTCCAGTAAGATTTCTGATAATTTCGGTCTTTTTCTCTATTTTGGAATTTGAAAATTCTGCTATGTTTTGGATAGGATTTTGATGTGTCATTTTGTTTTCTAAGGTGCCTAATATGCGCATGATTGAGGGAAAATGGTGCATTAATTTTTTGATAATCGTTTGGTTAGTGTTTGAGGTTGAATTGCTTGGTTGCGCCACCGAGGTGAGTTGTTGTCCTTTCACTTGTGATGAATGTGTTCAATGCTGAATGAAGGTTTAATTATATGCGAACTCTGAATCTTAGGTTCTAAAATAAGTATACTTGTTGTTGGTAATTGATCATATGGATTTGTGGTGTGTATATAAAAGCACGTGATCAAAGTGAGCATATAAGTTATGACATGATTTATGAAACATTGGAAGTAAATTATCATTAGGAGCATGTGTATAAAAGTATGTTGACTATGAGATAAAAACATATTGAAAGAATATGATTGAGATAATCATGTGAATTGTGATATGTTAATTATTATTTGTGATGCATTGGAAACGAATGGTGTTAGCAAGCATGAGTATTAAGGTATGTTGGATATGAGTTATGATGTAATGAAAGTATGTGATCAATGTTAGTGTATATATATGACATGACATGATGGTTATGAATTATGGTGCATTGGAAGAATATGATTTATGGAATGTGAATTGGAAATGTGCAATTGATGTGGAAAGTGATATAAAATGTAGATATGTTATGTGAATCGTGTTTGTGTTGCAATTGATGCATAGTGGTTTTAAAAGTGTTTTTGAAAGTGTATATATAAGTGAAATTGTACATGGATGAGTGAGCATTTCATTGTCCATTTAAGATTGATCATGAAAATCATTTCCGATAAATGTTTCAAAGTGTATTTTGAAAGTGATTATGTGTATAAGCTATGCATCATTTGATAACCACTCTTGATGAACTTAGATCAATTGACTATTTGTTCTTAATGGGACCTTTGGATATGAAACACATGCCTAGGAAAGAGTGCTATATGGTTTTCTATGTGTGTGAACAAAGGGTTATACGGGGTAAGGTTGGTGCGTTGAGCTTTGCTCCGAAATACATGGTTTTTGGACCTAAGCAAATCCAAAAATAAAGGGGAGTTGTATGGATTCAGTTTATCTAATGAGTTAGTTGTGTTATGAACAAAAGGCCATTGATCTTAAATGGAAACAATGCATGTATTGTATGTGACTTTACCGAAAAGGTAATTGTGCATGTGTGCATATGATTTGGTGTAAGGTATATGATGATATAAAACATGTTTATAATTTGGATTTTGTGTGGATTTATGATGCATTAAGTGAACATTGTTGATCATTGAGGTAAAAACAAGTAAGGTTTCATGGCATTTAGGTATGCTTTCATTTAGCCTTGGCATGTACATCATATTTGAATGTTAAGTCATTCACCAAGCTTTATAGCTAGCACTCACTGTTTAATATTTTTCAGATATCTACTTGTCGATTTGAGAGCTTGAGGGGTAAGACACTTGGTGTTAATCAAAGCAAGCAAGCTTTTGTAAAGTTATTTTGAACCTTGGTTTTATTTTGAGGCAATATGGGATTCTTAATTGAGCTTTAAGTTGATTTGTTCTTGTGACTCTTGCTAGTGCATAAGTGACCAATAATAACCTATGTTGTACTTCGATTCTTGAGTAAATAGTGAAATGATGATTATTGATGTTAAAATACATGTTCTGCGATATGTTCAAGTATTCCATAAGTTATCAAATGTTGTTATATGCCTTAAATAAGTGATTTGACCATTTAGACAAGTGACATTAAGTGAATATAACATGTTAGGCTCGCCCTTAGGATGCATGAAATGACCAATAATGCACAAAATGGTTAGATAATTTGTGTTTAAGATGACTTTCTATGCAAAATTTGACTTTGGATGCTAAATACTTTTATGTTATGTTAAATGATGTTATGAAGTAGGCTATATATGTATTATAACATGTTCTAAGTAGTTTAAGGGTGTTCAAGCATGTTTGTAGACCCTAGGATCGATTGCATGACCAATTGGACGCATGTTCATGCATAATAGTATGATTTTATGCATTTTATAGAAAAAGAATTGATCCATTGCTAAAAAGGATTGACCCTTTTATGCAAATGATTGATCCCTCCCCTAAAGGATTAATCCCAAACCCACTGTTTTGCAAAGGATCGATCCTTTCATTGTTTGCTCGATGAAAATTTGTAATATTGCTTTCATTAAAGATCTAAAGTGTTCCTAAGTCTTTGGATTGTCCCTGAACTTTAAAATGTATTCAATTTGATCAAGAAACATGATTTTGCAATTAAAATTTGGTTTTAACTCGTATTTTGTTGAAATTTGTTCTATGAATCTATAATGATAATAATTTTATAATGAAACATTCAATTTCATATTTTTGGTTTATTTTCATGTTTTGAAAAATTTTACGTTTTAGTCTGTAGAAAAACATGTTCAATTAGGTCCATGTTTGATGTTCGATTAATCTGGAATTTTGCATGTCACTAATTAAGGATTAATAATTAATATTGGTAACTTAATTCAATATTACTAGGTTGAATTACACGATGATGTGAAATTACCGATTTGCCGTACTTAGCTAATAATTGAGTTGTGAATACATTTAGTTAGTTTGTATAGTTGTTAAGAATCTTAGCTAGGTAAAACTCTAGTCTATAAAAGGCTAACTTTGTATGCTGCAATCAATGAGAAAAAAAATACTGAAAAAACAAATCTCTTTTCAGTTTTCACATGGTATCAGCTTAGGTTCCGGTTTCTAAAGACCTAGCGATGACCAATTCTTTTTTAAATAATGTCCACTCTATCATAAAACCAACTTTTGGTTCTGATGATGTTTCAGAATCCCTGAATTCGACAGTCATATACCACAAATTACTGGGCCATATTTATTTTCAATGGTCACAGTCAATAAAGTTATTCATTACTGGAAAAAGGGAAGATTAGATTTAATTCTTGTGAGATTCAACAACTCACCACTCTTGAACCAGACTTGACAAATAGGTGATCAATTCTACGGCACCTGCTGTTAGGGAGAATTTTCTCCTTTATGCTACTGGCCATGACATTTGGTGTGCAGTCCGTGAAACTTATTCTAGTTCAAATAACGTTTCTAAATTTTTTGGGATTGAAATTATGGATGCGATTCTCAAACAAGAACCGATGACTGTCGCAATTTATTACAATACTCTCACTCATCTTTGGCAGCAACTTGATCTCTATGCTACTAATAATAGGGAAACTCCGAATGATGTAGTCCTTTACAAAACGATCTCTACTCAACAAAGGATTTTTCAATTTCTGAGTGGATTAAGTAACGACTTGGATGCTGTTCGTGGCAGGATTCTTTCCACAAAGACTATTTCTTCTATTCGTGAAGTGTTCTCTAAGGTTTGACGAGAAGAAAGTAGGCGGACATTGATGCTTGATACTGTTGTTGCTGCTATTGATGGATTGGTATTGCTCACTCATTCATCCTCTCCAAATCAAAACCATAAAGGAAAACCATGGTGTGATTACTGCAAGCGCACAGGAAATGTTCGAGACCAATGCTGGAAGCTTCATGGAAAACCAATAGATTGGAAATCTTCTTCTAGAAGATTTTACAAAGAGACTCACTCTCATATGGCCAAGAGTGGCATGTCCAGTAGCTTTACCAAACAGTAAATTGATGATCTGCAGTGGCTGTTTGGGCAATTTCTTGTTCCTTTGAATACAAATCTAGCTACTTGAGATTCTCCAAATAATACCACCTCTTCTTCTGCTCTTCACTGCAAAGAATGCGCCAAATTGGAGAGTTGACTTTGGGGCTTCTGATCACATGACTGGAAATTGCAATCTTTTTTGTGAGTTTCGGGTTCCTCATAATCGATCAACTATTCGAATAATAGAAGGTTCCTTGTCTGAAATTGCAGGAAGTGGATTTATTTTTATAAATAAGGACATAATTTTGCAGAATGTTCTTTATGTTCCTAACTTATCATGCAATTTACTCTCTATCAGTAAATTATTTAAAGATTCAAATTGTATTGCTATGTTTACTGATCATATTTGTACTTTACAGACAATAGACTCGAGGAAGACGATTGGCAATGCTAGACTGTCAAATGGGCTCTATGTCATCCTCCTTCGGCAGCCTTCACCTACTTTAAGTGGTTTTTTTTCTTCCATTTGTTCTTTTTCCTTAGAAAAAAAAATGATGATGTGATGCTATGGCATTATCGATTAGGACATCCTAGCTTTCACTATTTGGCAAGATTGTTTCCCCACTTATTCATGAATAAAAAGCCTAATTCATTTTAATGTTCCATTCGTAAATTGGCTAAACACACTAAAAGCTCGTATCCACCAGTTTTGTATCAACCTTCGAAACCTTTTGCATTAATCCACAGTGATATTTGGGCCCCCTCTATGGTCAAAATTATTAATGGCTGCCGTTGGTTTTTCATTTTCATTAATGATCATAATAGGATTACCTGGACTTATTTAATGAAAAACAAATATGAAACTGTCCATCTTTTTAAGAATTTTTTTGCTATGGCTGAAACTCAATTTCAAACTCCTATAATCCGATAATGGGCGACAGTATTTTGCAAACACCTTAGGTGATTTTTTTTCGAGAGAAGGGCATAGTACAACTTACTTATTGTGTTGATACTCCTCATCAAAACGGGGTTCCCGAGAGAAAAACATGCATTTGTTAGAGGTAACTCATGCATTACTTTTTTCTACGAATGTTCATAAACAATTTTGGGGTGAAGCTCTTTTGACTGCCACATATCTAATTAATCGAATGCCTAGTAAGGTATTAAATTTTCAAACTCCTCGGGATGTTTTATTAGCTAATTATCCTTCTTTTAAACCTATGTCCTCTACTATTCCTTTATGAGTATTTAGTTGTACTGTCTTTGTTCAAAACACAAATCTTACTCGTTTTAAGCTGGATCCATGGTCACACAAATGTATTTTCTGGGGGTATTCTTCTCTTAAGAGGGGTTACAAATGTTATTCTCCAATTACTCACAAAACCTTTGTTTCTATAGATATTTTTTTTGGATAAGTAAATTATATTCCATCCAAAAACAACCGCAGCTTAGCTGCTACAAAATGAACTGTCACAAACTAAAACAGTTCCCAGTTTATGTACAAGAATCTATTACCATCATCTACTCTATGTAAACTAAGGCTATACAATTTTGCTTTCACTGCCTCCTTAATTCTTTTTACAATTACCTCACTTGAGCTTGAGATGCCTCTAAAATGCCTATAGTTACGCTCTTCCAAAATATAGTACAAAAACCAGTCCAAGCAAGTTTTAGAATCCGTACCCGAAAAGTTTTGCCCTTCAGGTTTCCAACCATCCAACTAAGGCGCTGATCCCAGGTAAGAGTAGCACAACGAGTACCACAAAGGCTTAGAATAGTGTTCCAAACATCCATAGCAAAAGGACAAGCAGCAAATAAGTGATCCCTTGATTTAGAGTCCGAACCACATACCAAACAAGAAGCATCAACAGCTAAACCAAAACAGGAAAGCCTGTCTTTAGTTGACAGCCGATCGAGGATGGCCATCCACGAGATTAAGGAGAATTTGGGAATATGGGACGGGAACCAGATAAGCTTATGCCAACTCACCTTCTCCCTTCTAACTCTAATACAGTCCTATACCCATTTGCCTTTAATAAGGCACAAATTAGTACCAGGAGGAAACAGATTACTCGCAAGATCTCGCAGCCTCAAAAGTTTAGCCAAAATCCAGCTGAAACCTGTGTCAACTTCTGTCTCAAACAATTTTTCAAGTCACATTTCTATCCCTACTCATATTGCTATGTCCCCCATTAGTCCTTCACATACTTCAGCTCCACCAAATACTCATATTGAGACCTTGCGAGTTTATACACAATGCCTGAAACCTATTCTAAAGGTTATTTTACAGTCTAGTGCTTGTCGAGAGTTGGCACTCAGCCCGGTTGCTTCACAAAGTAATGAAGGTAATGAAGTTCCTTTTAATGAATATAATTTTGATTTTAGCAGGGTGTTAGACAATGTGCTAAACATCCGATACAAAGATTTATTACCTATGAAAGATTAATGCCTTCTTTTAAAGCTTTTACAGCCAACTTAGATATGCTGCAAATACCAACATTTATAGAGGAGGCTTTACAGGATTCGAAATGGAAAAGGGAAGTTGAAGATGAACTTGGAGTTCTTGAGAAAAATGGCACATGGATCATGTTAATCTACCAAAAGGGAAGAAACTTGTTGGCTGTAAAAGGGTATTTGTTATGAAGTACCACTCGAAGAGAGGTATAAAGCTAGGCTTGTGGCCAAGTGTTTTACTCATACCCATGGAATTGACTATAAAAATATGTTTGCGCCAGTAGCTAAACTTAATACCGTGCGGGTTTTGCTTAGTCTAGCTGTTAATAAGGATTGGGAGCTTCATCAACTGGATATAAAAAATGCCTTTCTAAATGGGAGACTAGATGAAGATGTGTATATGAGGTTTCTTTCTGGTTTGAAAACAGACTCAAAGACTCAGAAGTTTGCAAACTTCAAAAGGCTCTCTATGGCCTTAAACAGTCCCCATGTGCTTGGTTTGAATGATTTAAAAAGGTAATTCTTAGTGATAGTTACAAGCAATGTCAGGCTAATCATACACTCTTTGTGTAGATAACACCTAGTAATA